GTGTGTGTGTGTGTGTGTGTGTGTGTATGTGTGTGTAGGGGGCGCCTAACAGATAGGGGCTCAATGATTTAAGTCAGCGGTTCTCAACCTGTCGCGACCCTTTTGGGAATCAAATGACCCTTTCACAGGGATTGCCTGATTCATAACAGTAGCAAATTTACAGTTATGAAGTAGCAACAAAAATAATTTTGTGGTTGGGGATCACCACCACAAGAGGACCTGTATGAAAGGGTCGCAGCATGAGGAAGGTTGGGAACCACTGCTCTAAGTGAATATGTATTTATACCCACATGTACACAGACTCTGGCAGAGGGGGTTCCACTTGGTCTTGTTTGAACTTTTGTGTTTCTTGTGTTTGCTCCTCTATAATTGGTCTTACCACTGTGTCGTGGGTTGGAAGTAGGTCTGAATTGTCATTGTGCCACTGGTGGTGGGGGCAGCTGGTTCTGTAGGTCATTGGGGCAGCCATCAGAAGGGCTGGACGTTATGCTTGCCTGGAGTCTGTCAGCATGAAGATCCAGCACTACATTTTCACCATGCACACCAGTCCCCTGACATGTTGAACAGTAACTTGTCGCCTTTGAGACTGTGCACACTAGCTTAACAGCTTCTGCACAGCAGTTATGTGACGATGCCATCACTTTGCAGACAACACTTGAGACAACAGTCAAAGCTGAGTCTGTGAGCGCACCTTCACGAGGGTGTGAGGGCCTGTAGCGCCCTGCACTGATCTCCAGAAACTCCAGTTGGCTGCACAGTGAGTGGATTGGAGGGCACGGTCCTTACTGCTCTCAGGTGACTTGCATTAAGTGCCAGCTCCTCAGAGATCATTATCCAGCTCTTTTTTCTAAACGCTGCATTGTCGTAAGATCAAACTGGGGGCGGGGGTGGAGTGGGACGGACGGTCACTGCCTGGGCATGGTGTACACTGACCAAGCTCTGTCTTACCGTTTGCAGGGATAGCTAGGCACTTCCGTTTTGGAAACCAAGAAGATGCCCATGAATTCCTTCAGTACACTGTTGATGCTATGCAAAAAGCATGCTTGAATGGCAGCAATAAGTAAGTCTACCCATGCCCTGGCCCTGTCTGCCCTCAGCTGCATCTCTGGCTGCTTACAGTTCACCTTTGCCTTCTGCGTAGAACACTGTGTTTGCTTCACCTTTGCCCCTGTGCTTCCTTTTCCCCAACCTGTCAGGACTATCTGAAAAGTTAGCAATTCCCAAAGGTCTGGTGACGGTATCTGTCAAAAGTTGAATCTGTCAAGTCCAGACGTCAGGAAGCGAGTGGTGGCTTGGCCCAGGTTTGATTTCTGGGTGTCAGTTAAGCCCTGTCTCCTGCCAGTGGCTCTGCTGACCCCAGCCCTGGTAGCCAGGGTGTGTGCTCTGCTCCTGTAGCTTCTGCACCAGAAGAAGATGGGGGCAAATCCTAAACCACTTGGTGTTACCCGGCCTGTCAGGTGAAGCTCCTCTCTGCAGCCACACCTCCAGTGTCCGCGGGCAGCAGAGCAGTGTGGTCGAGGTGCCCTGGGGTTGCTTTCACAGGCCCGCCTCTGGACTCTTCCCTGGCCGGACACCTAGTTTACAGAGCACATTTGTTTGCCGTCAGCACTTTGTGCACATTTCTTTCCATAACTGTAGTTGCAGTTCTCTGTCATTCTCTGCTTCCTCCTTGGGTGTCCGCATCCATTCGTCCTTCTTTCCTGCCCCTGCCTGCCTCCTGGGATTTGTTTTGGAGCAGACACTGCCCATTGGTTGGTGGTCCTGAGACATATGCTCCTTGTGGGAGTTGGGTTTACGGGCCTGTCTGGTCATCTGGGGGTGGGTTCACGTCCAGGTTTGCAGAGTGACTGAGTCTTGTGGTTTCCGCCCTTCTCTCTGAGACCAGGAAGTCTGGTCTATTTCATGATTATGAATTTTGCTCGAGATTTTTCTCCCTTTCTGTCCAAGACTTTCTGTGGCAGTTGGGCCCCTTCCTCTTGCTTGTCGCTTGAGGGCCCAGATCCCTCCTTGTCTTCAGTCTCACCCTGCTCTGGCCCTGTTCTGTCAGGCAGAGTGCTCCTCTGGCTGTCACTCACTCCCCATCCCTTTTCCTCTTGCTCGCTGATGGGTGTCCATGCCCTTAAATCTGTTTGTAGTGTTTAAGGCTGTTGTCGAACTCGTCTCTCATGTCACTCTTTGGCTGTTTCCAGATTAGACAGACACACCCAGGCGACCACCCTGGTTTGTCAGATATTCGGAGGCTACCTGAGGTCTCGAGGTAAGCGTTAGACAAAGTGAATAATGAAACGTCTCATTCCTCAGCCCAGACCCCCGGTCTCCTCTTCCCCGAGGCAGCCCCTGTGCCAGCATGTACTACAGCTTCTGGTGGACCACCTGGCG